TGCAAGAGCTTAAATTCCACCTGATTCATAAAGGTGAGTGAAGCCTCCTTGAGCTCTGGGTCCCCACAACATACATAAAGGCCAAGTCTGTCTCAAGGTTATTTGTAAATAGAAGTTTAACACCGAAAAGCACATATCTTCACAAGAGGGATCTTGAGCTCTTCCAGTTCTCAGGCACATTAGAAACAAATCATGTTTGCCTACTCAGCAACAAATCCTCGAAGTTTACTACTCTACTATGGAGCTGCAAGGACATAATGCATGGAAAATTGCCATGTGAATTCAGAGTAGACACACTCCTACTTAATCAGCAAGCAAATGATCTGGTAGCACTTTATAGACTAACAAAACATGTAGATGGTATCATGAGCTTGAAGAAGTGGGCTGTGCCCACGAAAGCTCATGATACCATCTACATGTTTTGTTAGTCTATAAAGTGCTACCAGGCCATTTGCCTGCAGTTTTTTTCTGTAACAGACTAAGGGTATGTCTACACTACCCCGCTAGTTCGAACTAGCGGGGTAATGTAGGCATACCGCAATTGACATACCACAATTGCAAATGAAGCCCAGGATTTGAATTTCCCGGGCTTCACTTGCATAAGCGGGGCGCCGCCATTTTTAAATCCCCGCTTGTTCGAACCCCGTGCCGCGCGGCTACACGCAGCACGAACTAGGTAGTTCGAACTAGGCTTCCTAGTTTGAACTACCGTTATTCCTCATATGGAATAATAACTGCATTGTGTTTTATAGATTTATGAGGGCATAACTAAATTTTTTTTGTGGATGAATATGACCCCCATTACTATAGTGTCTGAGAGTCTGTTTGCAAATGAACATAATTGATTTCTGTGTCTTTACTTCAACTTTACCTTCTTATAAGAAAAAGATAGCTTGCTTGGATATGCTTGAGTGTACATGCATCTGTGGTGACATTTTTGAGGAAAAGTTAATTTTGAAGAAAAAAATGAGGTTTGCATTAAGTTCTGAAAATGGTGTGGTCTTATTTCTTGTGGGAATGAGTTCCACATTCTACATCCAGCTTCTATGAAAATTCTCTCTCCTGTGCTCATATGCCTCCCTCTAGTGGCCAACAGGTTTACTGCTCCAATGGAATGTACTGTAGCTGGTTTTGGCGTTCAGGGTCACAGATGGAAAGATGATCTTGTATGTAGCTAGAGCCAGTTCCAGGGAGGACCTTGACTATAACGGGACATAGCCTTTGAATTGGACTATTTATTGAGCAGGGAATCAATGCAGAGAGCAGAGCACTGGGGTAAACAGTACTTGGCAACCTGTGTTATTGAGCAGATAGAATTTTGTTTCAGTTGCAGCTTTGGTTTCAGAGTTAGGGGGGATAACTTAATTTCTAGTTAGTGTGTTTTGATACTCAAGCCGTCAAGTCACAAGTTTGTGGATCATTATGGCTGTTTCTGAAAGGCTAGGATGAAATCTTCTGGCAATTCTCAACTGGAAGTGCTTTTTTGTTGTTGTCATGAAAGTTTGGGGTTCTAATAACTGAAAAGTCCAAAAGGACCCCCAAAGTGAGGGCTGATTTAATAATCTAAGGCAGAGGCTCTGGAAAGTGGGGGTGTTCTGTGTTGCTGTTCTCTGTTCCTATGAGCAGCATCTGAGTCTTGCTGAGATTCAGTTTGAGCCTGGTACTCTCCATCCAGTACATATCTCACTGAAATATTGATAGAGTTGAGACATGGTGCTGATTATATTTGATGTCAAGGAGATATGGCTCTGGGTATCATGCAACATTGCCTCACTAATGGCTTTGTATAGACGTTAAATAAAATAGAGGAGAGGAGGAGCCTGGAAGAACTCTTCAGGCGAGGGATTTGGATGTGAAAGAGCAATTGTATGTGTAACATGCTCAACTCACTTAATTGTCCCAGACATTTAGCTATTCAATGTAGATCATGTTTTTCCCCATATTCGTGACATGCTGACTGCGATGTTATTTTCCTCTCTCTCATCTCATTTGTTTTCCATAACAATCCATTCAGTCCTTTCACTCCTGCTAGATCCATGTCTATCACCAGTCAGTTTCAGAAAGTTGGAGCTCTTAATTATGGTGTATAAAAACAATGCTGGAAGCCAAGAAGTTTTAAACCATGATCCGTAATTCCTTTCTCCAGAGCTGTGTGCCTTCTCCTGGCTCACTTCACTGTTGTGGAGATCTGAGTTTTTTTTATTTGCATAAATTATAGTTTGGATTTTGGAAGTACAGGCAGTGCATAAATATGCATTCTCCATGTCTGCCTACACAACAAACTATTGGAGTGAGCAGTCCAATTGGATTGACTGCCCCATCCCACTCCGAAATAAGGTGTATTCACCTGCAAGCTGTTGGCACCATTGCCTAGTGCAGTGACACTTACCAGTGGGGTTTGAATTCTGAAGTGCACCAAAATGCTACTCACTGACTGTCCAATATATGGTATGCAGTAACAGTTCCCTAGCGCTCATTTTGATAGTCTCTTTCAACAGCACTATATTAATGCCCAGTACAGAACTTTTAGTGCACATCAACCAAGTCTACATAGGCAGGTTAATGTTTGATACATTGGTGCACTTTAGAATTCACACCCCACTGGTGCACATTATCATGTCATGTAGACAAGCCCTGAGTCTGTGAAGCAGAAATAAATGTAAAATGTAACTGTTGTGAATCGAATTATCCTTATTAGTGCTGCTCACAAATTTATTGTAGTGGTACAGGTTTTCCAGATGCTCCACAGAAAAAACAATAAGCCAAGGTCTCATCTCCTGTAAATTCTCTATAAACCATTGCCGACAATGTATGTTGTGGACATGGTGGGTGGGTGGAGCAAGGGGGCACAGCAGAATACAAGGCGAAAGGAAATCTGGTTTTTGAAGCATTATTTGTAAGGATTTTGATTATTTGCAATGTTGTGGTTTATTTTGGTTCTCTATCACTTTTATGTCTTTAGAGGATCAGAGAAAATGGCAATTAAAACATCATGTGAAAAGCCCTATATAATTTAATAGGGACAAAACAAATATGGCTCTATAAAAAGTTCTCCAAAACCCTAAATGAGCATCCAAATTCCTTTTGTGGAATATAAAAACCTTTTGATAATTTCGAAGAAAGTTAATTTCCTGAAGTTCTGGAGCATTTTACTTAAGAACAAAAGACTTGAAATATACAAGTGATTGTTTTGAATCTATAGATATATATTAGAGAAAGATTTTCACGGTTGCTGGGTACTATAGTCTTCTATCTGAAAACCTACACAAAATGCGCTCCGCATTTTGCATAATTTTTTCCGGTAGCTTTTCCGGAAGAGGCTTTTTTGCCATTTTGCCCCCTCTCTGAATGAGTGCATTTGCTCTTTTGCAAAAAAAAAAAAAGCAGAAGAGCAGATGTGTTCTCTGGACACAGCGGCGGTTTTCCGGGATACCGGTATCCCAGAAAAAACATGCAGTGTAGACATAGTCTGAGTTGCCAGATGAGAATGCTAAGCTATTCTGAATCTCAGATCTTACAGACATAGGCCAAGACTACACTAGACCCAGAAGGTCAAGTTAAGGTATGTAACTCCAGCTATGTAAAATACCTAGCTGGAGCCAGCTCACTTTAAGCCAAGCTTGGCACCATCTTCACAGTGGAGGCTGATGGGACCAAATGCTCATTTCCAGTCGACTATATGATTAACCAATAAGCCCAGGCTTATCTGTATTAGAGGTATCAAAGGAGGGGGAAGCAGCAGCTGGTGCTGGGGGGAGCTGGCTTAAAAGCCGGTTTCCCCCAGCACCGGCTCCACGGTGCCACCTTCCTCCTTTCCCCAGTGCTGCTGCCTCTATCAGAGACAGCAGCGTCGGAGGGACAGTAGACGCTGCCGCTAAGTACCCTCTGTCTGCAGTGGGCCCAGGCTTGCCGCTGACAGAGGGTGCTCCCCCTAGACTTGCCACGGTGCATCCCGTCTTCTGGGCCCACCACAGACAGAGGCTGATCCCCCTAGACAGTGGGCTAAGTAGGAATGAACATGATACCTAAGGGTATGTCTACACTAGCCCCCTAGTTCGAACTAGGGAGGCTAATGTAGGCATTTGAAGTTGCAAATGAAGCCCAGGATTTAAATATCCCAGGCTTTATTTGCATGTTCCCGTCCGATCGCCATTTTTAAATGCCACTAGTCAGGACTAACTGCCCGAAACTACACATGGCAGTGAAACAGCAATTCGAAGTCCTTAGTTCGAATTAACTGTTTCACCTCATTCTAGTGTAGACATACCCTAAGAGACAGAGCAATCTCTACAGGGAGCTCACACCATCTGTGGACAGGGACTGCTGCCGAAGCAGCCTCTGTTCATGACCAGCCTGGGCCGCTGCAGACAGAGGCTCCTTCGCAGCAGCCTCTCCCCTGCAGCAGCCTCTGTCCGCAAGGAACTCAGTCCCCCCACGGAGGGGGCGGCTGCCACCCCACACTGCTGCCTCTGTATCAGAAGCAGCAGGCAGCCAGTCTGCACAGGGAGCTGGTTTTTAAACTACCTCCCCCCCCCTCGTAGACTGGCTCCCGTCTGGCATCCAATGCTGCTGCCTCTGACACAGAGGCAGCAGCATGGGGTAACAGGGCTCCCCAGGAGTGGGGCCAGAGCACACTAGCTTCTGGTCCTGCCCCCTGGGACTATAGAATTGTCAAGAAACCCATAAGAATTCATGCAGTTACTCGACTATTCAATTACCCCATATCTGACATACCTATTCCTGTCAGCTTCCCTTACTCCTCACAACTACGAGGCATATCAGCACCAACCAGAGTCACCCTCAGTGTTTGATTTAGCAGGTTTTAACTAGACCCACTAAATCAAATGTCAAAAGATCACTCTCCAGCACGTCAGTGGAGACATGGCCATAGCTGTTGTTTGTTTGATTCTGTTTTTGTGTTAGAATATATATTTCAGCTTGTTGTCCTGTATATTACTCCTAATTGTTTTTTGCTTCCCTTTGGATTTGTGACTGTGCAGTAAGAAGAACACTAAAGAGCGGATTGACACCAGAAGAAGCCAAAGCACTGGGCCTCATCAGCACCTCTGAGATGCAGGTGTGAAATCTTCAGAGGTGGCTACAAGCAAAACCATCATTGGTGACACATGGGCTGACAACCATTCAGTGTGGCATTGTTCTACCAGCCTCATCTGCTGCTTCGGACATCCCGTCCTCTGTTTAATTTTGATAAGATATATACCAGAAAAAACAAAAAGGGCTAAAGAAGGGTGTGTCACAGCTCAGCATTAAAACCTGACAGATACAAAAAGGAGTGTTTGAGTATTTGTAGGTGAGAGTTTATAGCTTGGTTCTCTCATGATGCATTGATGTGGTATTAGGGGACTCTCCTGAGTTATCTTTTATTGTGTGAGCTATGTTTACGCTGGCTATCCTTGTGGCCTGTTTTAGAAATTGTAAAGTATGGCATTTTGTCAGTGCAAGAAACAGTCCTTAAAGAGGCAAAATCACTTCTGTTACAGTTATTATGATCTTCCTAAGATTGTTTTATTGGACAGACATACACAGATCAGTACAACCCTATTTTTTATCTCACCACCAAAGAATGTAAAAATGTATGTGTACCTATGTATATGTACAGTATGGATGTGTGTGTGTATACATTCACATATAGTCCTGGGGTGAAATCCTGGCCCCATGGAAGTCAAAGGGGTAAAGATTTTATTCCCAGGGCATTAAAGTTCCACCTGATCTTCAGGATAGGAGTGTCTTTTTACAAGAACTCAATGTTGTTCAATGGAATTCAACCCTGCAGGGCAGGAAATTCTCTGCAGTGCAAGTGGAAAGTTTAGGATTCTGAACTGCATGTGTGTACAGTATGTGCATGTACACTGTACCTAATACTATACACACAGAGATAGCACAGAATACCTCCTTCTGTTGAACTCTAGGTATACTGAGTCTTTGTACAATTTCAGAAATTTATGCCAACAATTTACATACTAGATAAAGAGGTTCTGCTGCCAAGATCAAGAAGTTTTCTTCACCTGCCTGAGCCCTTCATTCTGCTTTTCTCAGTAGTGATGTAGCTTAGTGGTGATTTAGCTTCAATCTGATTGAACTGAACATGAAATGAGCCTGTTAAAACGCCTTTATATTTTTTCTTCTTTCATCAATAAAATGAATAGCAAGGAAACCACAGTGAGCAAAGAGCAAGAACATTCCTCTTCCCACACACAAAGAATTTGCTTTTTCCTCATTCGTCCTTATGTCACTGTTTTTAATTGATTTCTATTAACACCTTCAGTGTATGGGTGAGGTTTCATGTTCGGTGCATGTTCTGTTCTGCTATATACCCATATAGCGATTACACTCTGTTGTCCAAATCAGAGAGGATTTTAGAATATCCTTTAATCAACTCATTTGCCTTTAAGTGAAATACATCCCACCTCAGTGAATTTGGAACCCACTTATACCTGGCTTTCGCCACTGCCGAAGCATTTTCAAGGGAACAGCAATTTAGTAATAACTAAAAATGGAACATTTTGCACCAAAGTATATCTGATTGTAATGATCCAAATGCCACCCCACTGATTAGCACATGTTTCTCCTGGAGGTGCACATCTGCAGAGACATCAGTGCACATAACAAAATGTATTACACAGATGGAAAAAATCAGAGGGAATATGGAATGTGAAGAAATGTGGGATTAGCTGTTTCTTTGACTCTGGGCTGGAACTAAAGATGTATTGACTCCTACATTCTGCTCCACTTTGAGGACAGGAAGTGCTAAGGATAAGGTACCAAACAGATGAAATTTCAAATATATATGAGACTATGTTGAATGAAAAGCATCCAAGTAATCTGAAAGCCAATCAATAGGCAATACTGAAATAAATGACCTAGTTGAATAAAATTAAATGGAATTTGCTGTTTAAACTCCAATCAGTGCAATTATTTTCTTCAGCTGCTGGATTTCAGTCCTTATCGACAGTTGCCTGGGGCCCTGACCCATCCAGTTTATATCTCCCTGCTATGAGGCCTGGTTGTCACAGTGTAGTGTTAGGTTTACAGACAGCGGTGAACATGTTTTCCTGCTAGTTGGCAGTAAGTTTGGTTTAACAAGTGGGTTTTGCAAGCAGACAGAAGCTATTTATCGGATAGCTAATAAAACATAGAGTAAAGAATGAGCTGAAAGCTGTAAAGAAGAAAGGGCTGAGCAGAAAACTGAAGGAAACAGAATTTATATAATCACTTTCTTTCATTTGAAAAGAAATGATGTGTTAGCAACAGGGTTTTGGAAAGGATCTCTGCATGATACGACACGTTGCTTTCACTATGTTTTCTTATCTTTCTGCTCAAGGTTGCAAAAAACACATAGCTGGAGGAGGCATTGGAGGTTTGTGGAAGTCAACAAGGTCTGAATGAGTAGGTTGGATTGCAATTCATGTTCTAGTTAAAAACAAATCTGAATCTGAGTCCTGATCTGGCCAGTTGCTGAAGCCCTCCTGAAAGAAGCTCAACTCCCTTTCCAGGTATTGGGCCCTTGGCAGGACTGAACTTTAAATTCCCTGCATCTTGTGCTGTGTATGCACCCCAGACAATGGGAATCTCCATTTCTAGTTACTAATAAGGGAGGAATGCAACAATTGCTACAAGAGCAATGTGTCACCAGCATAGTAATGTGAAGCAATTCTTGTGTTTGGAGACTATATTTTAGTGCCATTTCTAAAGTGTCATTAAACTTAAATGTCTCTCAGTCAGCTTGCATGTCCCAAATCCTTTACATTCCCCTCATTTAAAAGGGATTTAAAAATTAGCCATAAAAATGTGATTCATTTGACAATGTGAGTCAGGATTCCTGAGGACAGGTGGTTCTGGCTCGTACAATGGATTGTTTTAAATCTGATTAGGAGGGGGAAAGATAGTAATTTACCAACTTCATATCCCCTGCTTCTTTCTCCTTCCTCCCTCCCTCCCCCCAAGCATACATGCATTCCAGTAACTCATGAACAGCTTGGATTTGGAAGTCAATATTTAACTAGTTATTAGTCTATACTGTGGAGTCACTTTTTGATTGTTGATTGCTATTTTTGAACTGCAGACTGTTTTTATAAGAGGCTAGAAAAAAAGATGACAAGCAGCACTCAAGGGTCAGTTCCCGCTCCCTCCTGTGAACAAGCAGCCCCTAGCATTGTCTTCAAGGGGAATTGTGCATGCATGAATGAGGGTTGAATTTATCCCTGTAGAAAGTTCAGATTGTTCTGGATTTCCAGCATATAAACTGCAAGGACTATAAATGCTGAAGTTTCTTTCGCGAGTTAGATACTTAGGAGCTCTGAAGGAAGTAAAAATTAATTAAAAACTTAAAGCTGCCCTATGTTGTTTTCCTGATGGTGAGATGAAATGATGCTTGAATAGGGAACACTATTGAAATTTATTTGTAAACTTTTGATATGAGGGCCTATTTTGTGGTTTTTATTTTTATTTTTAGACAAGGGATTAAATTGCATTTTAGATACAATATAAAGAGAGTTGAAGAGCAAGAAATTCAAAGGAGTTTGTGGGGTTTTATAGTACTATGTTCATGCAAAAATATATATATTCTGGACACTTCTAATTTGTTGGTTTCACATTGAGTGGCAAACAGAGGTACGTAATGTTTAACCGTTGTCTAACCATTGATTATGTCAAACAGATATGAAATCTGGAGGCTGCTTTGAAAGAAAAGGTCTATCGATAGCAATGGGTGCATTTCTCCTTTTTAAAGACTGTATTGGGGCATACTATGTCGTCTTTTGTGCGTGCGTGTGTGTGTGAGAGAGAGAGCTGGGAATTGTACAAAATTGTAAAGTAGAAAAGGACATGTTTGTTAGAGGAAGGACAAATACTGTAAAATTGTGTAAATGTCACTACTCATGTTTTTTCATGTTGTGTGTAGCATAGTGTAAAATAGGCTTTTCAGCAGTGTTATTCTGTGAATTGTAATTTAAAAACAAGCCATGCATGGTTAAAGATATTATCTACAGGTCCTTTTTTCATTTGTTTGTTTTTCTCATTTTAGGTAAAGATGTTTTGTTATATGTTAAATTTAATTGTTCATGAAACTGCTTTTTGTTTCTCAGTTTTATTGCATAAATAACTTGAATTACTGTTTAAAATTTACTACACACAAGCACTCCTTCATTTGTATCCATTTGTAGGAAGCTTTGTCACTACATTGAGCATAACTGAGGTGGATTTCCCTTTTTTAACACACCCCTCTTTTGCCTCTCCTTCCCCACTCCATTCCTTCCTCACATCCTTGAAAACGCAGTCTCTCTTTTTTCCGTGCCATGCAGGGTCAACTTGAGAAACTGACCTCAGACCCGTGTCCAAAATTTCTTGATATAAGTAGTAACAAAGCTCACCTCTACAGCATTATGTAAACACATCTTGCAATAAAGCTTTCTAAAGCATTTTCTGTGTTGGTTGCTGATTTTGTTGATGTACCCAACTACTAAGAACTTGGTTGGCTGGGGTTTTTTTTTTTAAACAGTTTGTATTCTTTATGCATGCATGAAGCCACCACAGGAGCAAAAGAATGCCAATTCTGGATTATCTGCCAATGAAAAGCGAACTCTTTAACCCTGCTTTCGCAGATTGAACCAAATGCATAATCCTAAGTGAAGTAAATGTGCATGTGCCCAGTCCTCCAAGATTGGTCATAGGTAATATGAAATACCCACCAAACATCATGGGATGCTGCCATTAGCAAGCAGTCAGCTCTTAACTTGTACTTTCATAACTTGTGTGGCGGGGTGAGAGGTGCCAGGGCTCTGAACCGCCAAGCCTAGAGGTTCCGGGGCTCAGCCCTGACCCAAATTAAGCACTGCTGGCAGTTGATGAGTGATTGATTTTTATCCTTAAAGCAGCCTATGCAGCTGGAGACTTGTACAAAGAGCTCCTAGTTTATAAATGCATGTCTCTGACTCTCTTGAGCTCAGGTGAGTGTCCTGATCGACTCTGCACAATGAAATGGAATTCCTGAAACTCTTGTTTACAGAGCCATTCAGACAGATATTGGAGGACTAAAACAGGGACATGCCTTTTAACTTAATTCAAATGTGTTCAGGAGGACAGTTTACCTCAGCTCTCCCCATATGCCCCCATTCAATCTGTCTGAATTAAAGTAACAGAGCTTTTTTGGAGGGTATGAGGAGGTGTATCAACTCCGCACGGGATCTGGGAGGGCTAATCTGGCTCACCTGGCCGAGGAGGCCCGTCTCCCACAGCCCTGATGGGCATGCTCCAGCTGGAGGCCATCTGGAAAGGCCTGTGGAGCTGCACAGTCAGGGCTGATTGCCACCGAGGAAGGAAAGTGTTTCTGGAGCTCCTGAAGAGGAACCACCACCAGACGAAGACACAGAGGCCAGTCAGCAGGAGGCGGCAGCCACAGATTCCTATCTGGAGGGGAGAGACAGAGAATTACCTGGAAGAGACTGGTAGGAAGCAGCCAAGTCACACTGCCCAGAAAGAGGAGGGCATTGTGATAGACTCTGGCTGTTAGGCCACACTGCCCTGCAAGGAAGAGGCCACGTTAGAGGCTTGCCTGACAACTCCAATGACTGGAAAAGACTGCAGGCAGCACGAATGCATGTGGGCCAGATACGGTTTGAGGGGTTACTGAGGCCCACTGATCTCTCCCCTGGAGGGTGGGCTAGGCATCCCATAACAGAGGGGACACAGTAGAAAAGTGATAACTATTTTACCCTACTAGATTAGGACAGTGGCATGAAAAACTTTGATTTCCAGGACAAATGGCATCATAAGCTACCTGAAAATATTTACCCTTTTATGATACATGTACGATCAGTGAAGTTAGGTTACACAGTTCAAAAACACTTACATAATTTTGTGGCATCATCTTAGATTCTTAGCTGTGTTAAGAAAGAATTTCACAGATGATTTTTGTACGTTACCTGGAGCCTTAGGGGGGCAATAGGAACCATTGTAAGTTATCATATATGTAATGCTTCCTACAGAAAACAGTGACTTGCTCCTTCCTAGATGCCTTTTTCCAGTAATTTCATATAAAAAGATGCCCCATGGGATCTACATGTATCTCTTAAAGAGCTGCTTAGCATTCCAGCTGCACTGTTGTAAAGTCTAAAGGATGAAAGGCTACTAGCCAGAAATGTGGTAATGCTTTTTAAAATAAATATATAAAACAAGTTTATTGGCCAGACACTTTTCTATCACAATATATCCATTAGTAATTCTAAATTCCAGATGTGCAGTGACAACGCTTACATAGATTTTTCAGACTCAGTACTCAGAACTCATTTTTTTGTCAGAGGGAAGCCTCTGGACTCCAGTCAGAGACCAAATGTGTCTGCAATTTATCCACTGCACAGCTGCATGCAGTAGTTTGCAGCCAAGGGGTAATCGATTCTTTTTTCTCGAGGTCCATGGATAGGCAAGGTCCAGACTCCACAGAAAATAATAAAAAATAATAATGTGAAAATAAGAAAATAGATTTCACAGCCCATTCAAAAGCATCTGGCAATCTGAATTTGGCCTGTGGTCAGTCTGTCAACTACCTGTATTGTAGCCCTTCCATGACATTTTCACCATGAAAATGCAAATATTATATTGAGAAAAATCTTTTTCCTTTTTTGTAAACTCTCCATATTTTCTTAGGGAACGTAGTTCGGAAAATAAGAAGGCTCCTTTCTATTCAGAAATCGTTACCTCTAGTGAATTTCTTAATACAAAATTAAAAAATCACTGCTGCATTGTATTAAACCACAATCTGATGAGACAGCCCTCTACTGGGGAATCCTGAATGGAAAGTGTCTACCTTAGAAGTCATGCTGTTGTGGACCCTTCACCTCCACTCCCAGCTTTCCCTGGATTGCTTGCGAACAGGGTACGTCTAGACTACAGGCTTTTGTCAACAGATACTGTCGACAAAGCTTCTGTCAACAAAGAGCATCTAGACTACATCCACTTCTGTCAACAAAGCAAGCCGCTTTGTCGACATGGCAGTGTAGATGCAAAGGACAGTGTAGATGCAATAACGCCTTCTGTTGACAGAACTCTGTCGACAAAAGGCGTTATTCCTCGTAGAATGAGGTTTACCGCCATCAACAAAACTGCCGAGTTCTGTTGCTGTTATGTCGACAGAACTCGATGGTAGTGTAGACCCAGATATAGTTTTGTCGACAAAAATCCAGTTTTGTCGACAAAACCCTCTAGACCCACCCATAGTGTCTGAAGAGGAGTATGATGTGTTTTGAGGATTACCACCCCACTTTTAACATTCAGATGGAATCCTTTTCCTTTCTGCCACGCAGCTGCCTCTCCAGTCTCCCTTTGCCACCATGGTTGGGATGGAATCTTGTGCTTTATTATTGGTTGTTCTCAGCCTCACTGAGGGCAGAGGGAGGAGAGGAGGAAAGGAGGCAGTAACAGCCCCAGGGCCTGGCAATTCTAAAGGGCTCGGGCCTCCCAGCACACTCCAAGGAACTCTAAGGGCGGGGGGGACAGCATGATGTGCTCCAGGCAGCGTTGAGGGCTGGCTGCCCCCAGCCCAGCTCCTTCTCCTCAGGGACCCACCCCTTCTGGGAGCACAGAGCCGCTCCCTCCCCACCCCTCACTCAAGAGTCCCGTGTGGCTACCAGCTCCCCTGGGTGTCCCACACTTTGAGACACTTTGGTTTTCAGAAGAGGGACGCCAGCATTTCTGTCTGTCTGGCCCGTTAGGTGTTTCCAGTTGGACACCTAAAAACATCAAACACTGGGACAGTGGCCTTAATTTTCTAAAACTCTCGCCTCTGATGCCACAGGTAACCAGAATCACCTTAGATACACCTTACAAATCTTGGTGAATGGTTAGGTCTCTACGATGTTATGATGCCACATCCAAAAAGGACACCAGGGTGAAAATTATCTTTTCAAATAAAGTAATGAAAGATTCCAACTCCTGAATGAGAACTCAAAAGCTGGCTTTCCCCCTACCACAGTCCAATCCTCCCCTAAATGTGTAAAGGGAGGTTTAAATAATCTTGGCAACAGCTAGCAAAGGAAAGGGATTGTTAAAATGAGGCCCTGTATATCTTTTTAACAACCTTTTTCCCCACATAAAATTGTGGAAAATTATTGACCTCATAGCACAGTCAAAAAAAGCTATTCTTGCTAAATGCCAAGATGTATCAAACTTTTGACTAGACTTTCCTCACATAGGATTTCAAATCTGTTTGGCTGGAAGATTTCACAAGTATGCTGCATTAATTACAAGGAACAATGAGGTTAGTGAAGATAATAAATACAAATCTAAAGGATTAAAGCATAAACCATAATGTTCTAACTAAATGTGCATAGTGATACAGGAGATGCAGCAAATGTCACATTGTAGTCACTAGAGCCAAATTAGAAAAGGCCTAATGCAATTGGCACTGGTATCGATGGAAAGACTTCACTGGGTGTTAAATCAGGCCCCAAAAAGTAACTTCTGTTATTGGCTATTTGCAAATGAACTTGATGGTGGCTTTGGAGCATTTCTCTGACAGAGTCATATCATTCCAACTGTTTTAAAACTCCACTGATTTCATTGTTGGGAGTTCTTAAAAAAAATTGGTGATGCAACATGGCCCGAAAGCCAACACTGAAACCTTATTCCTAAAACTATGTGAAAAAAGAGTTCAATTTGGCTAATACGTTTTGTATACTCCAGCTAATGACCAAAAAAAATAAGTTTATTATATAAACATTCAACACCTGTTAAGCCGCCAAACATTGTCTGAAAAAGAAACACTTTAGGTCAGTGATCACTAACCAGTAGATCAGCATCGACTGGTCAATCATTGAGTCTTTCACGGTCAATTTCAGTCTCCGTCTAGGCCTGCCAACCTTCCTGGTTTGCCTGGAAGTCTCCTAGAATTGAGATTGATCTCCCAGAGTTTCCTGCAGCCAAATCACTAACAGTCCAGAGGCACAGCTGAGCTAAGGCAACTCCCTGCCTGTGCTGGCTCCATACCACTCCCAGAAATGGCCAGCCTGTCCCTGCGACTCTTTGGAGTGGCACATGGTCTCTGCAAGATCCCCTAACCTGCAGGCCTTGCCTTTGCAGCTCCCATTGGCTGGGATCAGGGAACCACAGCCAATAGGAGCTATGGACTAGGAGCCTGCCTTAGCCCCGCTGTGCTTCTGTCCCAGGAACCACTTGAGGTAAACAAAGCCTAGCCGGAGCCCACACCCTGAATCCCTTCATATATCCCAATCTCTGTCCCAGCCCTGTGGCCTCCTCCTCAACTCCACACCCCCTCCAGCACCTTCTCCTGTTCTTCAACCTCCTCCCATAGCCCACACTCCACATCCCCCATACCTCCCCCCGCACTCCAAACTCTTCCCAGAGTCCACGCTCCTTCTCACAACCCAACTCCCTGCTCCCAAGCATCAGCAAATAGAGAAACTGT